TCGTCGTAGTTTATTTGGGAGGGGAATTCCCAAATTTGTGGTGTCGAGCAGGACCAATTGCCTAGGGGCAAGAGATAATCCTCGGCGTCGTTGTTCAGCTTGCTGCTTAGCCTGTTGGTTGGCTTTGAGGATGGCATCAGCGGCTTTTTGCTGTAACTGTCGGAGATTTTCGACGAACTACTGTGACCTTGGTGCTAGATTTTCTATTGGTGGCGATAGAGGGGTTGTCGGGTCTATCCCGCAATTGAGGAAGAACGGGGACTGAGTAGTCGTGCTTGATGGGGCGCTGTTGTATGCATACTCGATCAAGGGAGGGAGTCTTCCCATTGGATCGGGTCTGTGCACGTCGTGCGAATCAGCTGCTCCATCGTCTGATTGGTGCGCTTAGTTTGGCCGTCCGATTGCGGGTGGTACGCCGTGGACAGATGCAGACGTGTGCCGTACTACTGCCAGTTTTTGTCCAGGAGTTGGACGTAAACTGTGGGTCGCGATCGCTGATGATTGCCGAAGAAATGACGTGTAGCCGCACGATGTTCGTGAGGAATAGTTTCGCTGTCTGCTCGGCAGTAATTGTCGTCTTGGTGGCGGCGAAGTGGGCCATCTTGGTCAACCGGTCAACGACGACGAGTATCGCGTCGTTACCGCTTGGGCCAGCTGGCAGGCCAGTGACGAAATCCATCGTCACTTGTTGCCAGGGTCGGCTGGGTGGCTCGAGCGGCTGCAGCAATCCCACAGGTCGAAGTCGTGAAGACTTCATGCGTTGTCACGTAGCGCAGGAGGTGACATACTGCTGTACGTCTGTCGACAAATTGGGCCAGTAATAATTACGGCTGAGTAATTTGTCAGTTTTGTCGATGCCGTAGTGACCCGAGAAATTCGAGTCATGTGCCTCTTCTATCAGTAGTTCTCGTAGGGTACGGTAGGCGGGAACCCAAATCCGATTGGTACCGATTTTAGGTAATAATCCCCTTGCTTGACCGTCAGTTGGGGATGACTGTTAGTGGTGAAGAATGGATCGGTACTGTATCCGTGGGTGAATAGGCCAGTTAGCAGCGGATTAGCTTGGGTAATAAGGACTGCGGCAGTATGGACTGAAGGGCGGGTTAGTGCGTCGGCGATGTTGCTAACCCTCCGTTTGTAGGTGACTCTGTAGCGGAAGTTTAACTCGAGGTAATCGAGTCAGCGAATCTGTCGGGATTTAGAGTCGGTTGGGCGCGGATGAACTGTAGCGATTTGTGGTCTGTTCGGGCTATCACTTCAGCGCCCGTCAGGTAGCAACGCCAAACCTTGAAAGCGTGAACGATGGCGAGTAACTCATTGTCGTGGACAGGATAATTTCGCTCGGTCGGGTTCAGCTTTCGTGACTCGTAGGCGATGGGTTGAAGGCCTTCGCGGAAGTCTTGTAACAGGACTGCGGCAACGGCCAGGTCGCTAGCGTCGGTGATGAGCTCGAACGGACGGTGAGGATCTGCAACTCGAAGAACCGGAGGTGTAGTCAGGAAAAGTTTGAGCTGGTTGAACGTAGTCTGCTGCTCTCCCCCCCACTCACAAAACTTTCCTTTCTTCAGGAGATCCGTGAGAGGGGAAGTTACCCTCGCCATGTTCGGAATGAACGGGCGAACGTTGTAATTCACAAATAACAGAAAGCTATGAAGTTCCCAGAGATTAGCCAGCGGCTTCCAGTCTTGGATGGTCGCAATCTTCTTAGGGTCGATTTTAACACCATCGATGGAAATGACGTGGCCCAAAAACTCTAGTTCTTATTTTAGAAACTCGCACTTAGAGCCCTTGATGATGAGTCGGTGCTGCACTAGAAGAGGGAAAACGGCTTCTAAATCCGTCAAATGCTGCTCCCGGGTAGTGCTGAAGATCAGGATGTCGTCAAGGTAGACGATGGCGCATTTGTTTAATAGCGGCCAAAAAACTTTTTTTCATGGTTAACTGGAACGTCGAAGGCGCATTTGTTAAGCCAAATGGCATAACCGTGTACTCGTACCTCCCGTACTGGGTTCAAAACGCCGTCTTGAAGCAATCAGCTTCGTGCATGCGGATCTGATGGTAACCGCCTTGCATGTCAATTTTCGAAAAGAACTTGGCTCCACGAAGTTGGTGAATGAGTTTGTGGCACGCGGGATGGGATAGCGGGATTTGATGGTAACCAGATTCAAGGTGCGGTAGTCAATACACATTCGGAGACCGCCATATTTGTTCGGGGTGAACAGGATCGGAGCTGCGATTAGGGAAGTGCTGGGGCGAACGAAACCTTTCTCGAGCAGGTAGTCCAGCTGGCGTTGAAGTTCATCCAGCTCGGGCTGAGTCAGCCGCCATTGTGTCCGAATAGTCGGTTGCACGCCGGTCTCCAACTCGATTTTGTGGTCGTGGTCTCGCTCAGGGGGCATACCCGCCGGTAGGTCGTCTGGAAAAATGTTGGCGAGCTTGCGAATCAACTTTGCCAAATCGTTCGAGACAGCTGCGCTGAGTTTGTCGATGTCGGCTGGTCTATCGACAGCCGTGGATGCGATCCATCGGACGGCAAACAGTTGCGCCCCGCGAATCATAGCTCGCTTGATCGTAATCGCACTGACCGTCGATGTCGTGAAATCTTGACAGCTCCAATTGGGAAGTCGTCACCATGCGCCACTCCATTTGATGCGACAATCACCCGTCCGCCAGTCAATGCTCGAATTGTATTCGCGCAGCCAATCGCGTCCTAGCAGCAAGTCGCAGCCGTCCAAAGTTGTCGCCAGCAGCTTCGTCGTGAAGCTGAAATTTTCACCGCATGTTACTCGCACGTGAGGTGCTCGCTCGCGAATTGCCAGTGGTGTGCCGTCGACCAATCTTGCGTCGATTTCAGGCATGCAGAGCTCCAGTTGCTGTCGCAATTTTTTCGCTTTCGTCACGTCCATCATACTGTGGCTCGCCCCGCCATCAACGAATATTTTGATTCGGGTGTCGCCAACTCTCCCTTCAACCAGCACATGGTGATCAACCGGTTCACCCCTCTTATTCAGCCAGGAATGGTCGATATCCCAAATCGACACTATAACCTGGTGGGGGTGGTGGCGTTTGGGCGACGCAGTCGAGTCAGTAGGTGGCCCATCTGCTACTGACTATCTGCTAATCCCTCCGATTTGGTCGCAGATTGCCAGAAACGACGTCGTGTATTCTTGGACAGAGCCCAACTGTCTCCACATCCGAAGCTTTGTGCGAGCATTTTCGCGCATGGATATGTGCTCGAATCTTCCCTTCAACACTTCGCCCCACGCTTTCCATGTGCGGATCGTGGCCGATCCAAAGATTGGTTCTGCCTTCGCCGTTGATGAGCTCATCTCCCCATCTGCCGCCTGTTGATTCCCTGCCGGAACTCCTCCCTCGTCGAGATGCATGCGCCACCAATCGAGTGCCAGTCCCCTCAGCAGCGACACAGCCAAGTTGACACGTGATGCATTGTCATTAATACTTGCTGCCGTGATGAAGATTTCCATGGCGAACAGCCATCCGCTCACTATAGTTGTCCTGTTGGTCGGGTTGAATGGTGGGGGCATCGGAGGCTTAATTTTAATTGCCGCCCCCGGCTCGTTGTGGACTTCTTCAACTGCTTCAGGTGTCGTCGACGCCCTCGCTTCGCTCGCATCATCTTCGTCTCGGGTAACAGGCCACCCCTGACGTGTTTCACCCCACGTCTGGCGAAGCGACGAGTTTTCGTTGCGCAGCGTCTGAACTTCTCTTTCCAGTAACTCAAACTTGTCCGCAAGTTGTTGAAGCTGGGCCTGCATTGTCGTTAATGTAGATGCCCTGGCTTGCAACTCGTCAAACTCCTCCTGAGTCATGTTCCTAACACTACGACGGGCAGAGGTTTTCGGCGAGGTAGTCATGCTGGAAATTTTACCTGACAGATCTGAGGGTGCACATGCTTTTAGTTGGAGGAGCTTTAACGAGCTCGCCTACCAACCGCTGGCCAACCCTCTATTCTGTCGGGTCCTCTCCCGATATAATTGGACTACTCTACGGAAGACTAAGCGGGCAGGAACGGGGCTCTGATACCAGTTGTTATGAATTAATCAGAGTAAGAACAGGTAGTGTAATAAAGGAGTCGTGATTCAAGAGTGTCGATACAAATGAGGGCCTAGGCATTTATAGGCACGAACAGAGCTAGCCGAGAACCACGCGAACAGGTTGCGGCGATTCGGTTGGCGAAAGCCACGGAAGCGCTGCGCGTCGAGGTTTGGGTTCGCGAAGTGGTTCGGGACCGAAGAAGTTGGCCGAGCCTGGACTTCCGAGAGTCGAGGGCGTATGCGCTATAGTCGAGCCTAGTAAGGAAAAGGGAATTTCCTTACACAAATGCTCCTAGCCGCTTGTACTACCCTGGTGATGGTCGGAGTCCAATCTCGACTACCCTAGTTTTGGGCTGGAAGGGCGCGCCAAGTGTCGCCTTGTGAGGTTGAACAGGTCAGGGTCTTACGAGGCGAATGTGGCACCAGCACGAGTAGAGACAGATGTTATCATGTAACGCTGCGGAGTAAAGAAGACATTTCCAACAAAAAGTACATGATCTTAATGTTGTGGTATAATTCATACTTAGCATTTCTGTAAGTCGTTTATCGATAGATAGTATCGAATCCTACTGTAGAAGATAAGTCTGTAGGATGGCGTCAGCAAATAGCGCTCGTCATAGGACAGTCGTTTCATTCACGCAAACAGTCGCATCTCTTCGTTATCATCTAGGGCGCATAGCGCGATAGTGACGAATAGGTACATTAGCGAATAGGTACTTTCCTAGAGCTATAAATCCTTGTTGTGTCTTTTTATTATTAACCTTGAGATTTCAACTTTGAGAACTTGAGACTTGACTTCCACAGAACTATATACTCAGGTTCACTCTTACAAGACTTCCGCTGTCTTACTAGTCTACCATTCCAGTAAAGATCCTCGGCCAACACTTGAGGTTTTCCAAGTGTTTGTGTTTGCAGATTCTACACTTAGTCTCCTGCAACACCTGTCAAATTATTACATGGTATGAGAGCTATTTGGAAGTAAGACTACTGTCAAAATGACTGGATCAACACCAGCACAATCTACCGGATCTACTTCTGGAACTACAGGAGTACCTGTCTCCACGACCGCCACTGGTCTCTCAGCCTCTGGACCGTTTCCACCGGCTTAAGTGAATATCGGTATGCAGCAGCAGAATCTGCCTTCTGTCAACACTCCAGGTGTTTCATCGACTGCACCTGCAGCGCAACAACAACAATCACAGACAACAGCACAGCAACAAGCATCAGCACAACCGCAGTTTTCAACACAGTCTATATCGTCGGCGTTCAGTGGAATGAGCCTTGACGGCTCGAGTTATATGCGTGGAGCCTCAGCTCCAAGTACTGGTTCATTTGCTTTCTCACCTTTTGCACAGCAGCCGCAGTCACAGCAGCATCAGCAACCCTTTTACATCTTTGGGCGTTCCCTGCTCAGCAACAACAACAACAACAACAACAACAACAACAACAACAACAACAACAACAACAACAACAACAACAACAACAACAACAACAACAACAACAACAACAACAACAACAACAACAACAACAACAACAACAACAACAACAACAACAACAGCATCAACAGTCACAGCAATTTCAGCAACAGCAATAGCAGTAACGCCCACAGCAATTTCAACAACAGCAACAACCTCAACAACAGGGCATTATTTTTCAACCGGCAAATCTACTTACCAGCACGCAGATCAAGACTACTATACCTTTCAACGGAGTTGATTTTTACTCCTGGAGCTTCGAATTCGAGCTTCTGGAGCAGTCCGCTGGGCTTCGGCCGTTCTTCACCGGCGAATTCACATATCCTGTTACGGGAACACGACTGGAGCAGCAGAGTTTCTTGCACGCCTCTCTTGGGGCGTATACGGTTCTTGTTCGGAACTTATCACCAAAGGAGCAGCTTGGCGTCCGATCATTTCATTCCAGCTTTACGCCAGCTGAAACTGCATGGAACCACTTAAAGGGGGTGTACATGGCAAAATATACACTAATAGTGAGTAAGATTCTTTCGCAACTGACAAGTTTGCAGATGATGACAAACGAGAATGTCATGAATTACGTCAATCGCGTCCGTACACTACGCGATCAATTAGAGAAGAGTGGGGGATACTTCCCTCGTGAGATTTATCTCACGGTCCTTCTTGCTGGCCTTGGACCCGAATGGCGACAGACGCGCGCCTTCCTGCGCATGAATCTGAATCTCTCCGAAGCTGAGATTTCTTCGTAACTTCAAGCCGAATAGCAAGATCTGGACCTGCAGTCACAACGCAATCAGAAAAAGGGAATACATTTGAGTTTCTACTCAAATCCAGAGCCGCAGCAACGACATCCTCCGAAATATCCTTTCTGTCATTTCTGCAAGAAACCAGGACATACTTACCAAACTTGTCGCAGCCGCCATCAAAACCGTCGCAGCACTTCACAACCGTATCATCGTTCGCAGCATTTACCAAAGCCACATCAACCAACGCAGCAGTCAACGTCCCCGGCACAGCAGATGCCGAAAACCACCGCAGAACACACCGTCGTCACAGCATCGACCTCCGGTTTTTGCATCTGCAACATCAGGAAAAGTGGTTTTCGGATGTGTTACAGCAGTTGATGTTTCAGAAACTGATTTCGAGACACGACTTGAAGAAACCACAAGTGCTGAAGGCATTCCCTTACCGCAAGTTTATGCTAACCTTGCTCGAGTCATTTCAGGACCCAGTACTTGGTATCTTGACAGCTGTTGCGGTTGGCACATGTGCTCCGCTGAAACAAGCTTCATCACCAACCAGCATCCACTTCGTCGACCCGTACATGTCACAGTCGCAAACAGACAAACCATAATGGCAAGATCTATTGGGAGTGTCATGCTAAAATCAGTCGACACGGGATATTCATTACACGTTACCAACGTTCTCATCGTTGCCGGACTTGGCTTCAATCTTCTCTCCACAGCTCAACTCCTGGCACACAAAATTTGCACACTAGGCAATTGTGACACAATGGATCAGGAGTTATGGCACCGCTTAACGAATACTTACCTCGGTCGTGCCGCTACTCAACATGGAGTATCAGTTCTTCAGTTCACAGCACAAGGCACTTCAGGTGATTCTGAACGCGACCTTGCACTTGGTCCCTGGCATCACCCGGAAGAAGCAAATTATCAGCACGTGGATATTGATTTTCGGGCAGTCACTGTACCAACAGCTTCTCGAACTGCAGCAGCCGTTCTTACCACACTGGATACTTGGGAGTTCGATACCGCCGATGGAAGCGCCAACGCGTGGCGAACGTTTTATAATACCCGCGCGGCCTTCCAAGGAACTCCAGCTCCACTTTGGGGCAAAATTAGCGGACTTGCCGCTGATGAACCGGTAGTCACCGAAGAAGCCGTGAAAGCAGAAGTTGCCGAGCAGCCGAATAGTCGAGTAGCTGTCGCACGGCCGTCTGCTCACACATCAACAGAAGCAGCATCAGAGGTTGCAATCACAACTGCAGCAGAACCTTCAAATGTTCAGTTACCGCTTACCCGTTTCGTCAAAGGGGACATTGATATGTCGCCTGCTCTTTCTCCTTTCATTATTTCTTCGTCTTATACTAACGCCGACTTTTATCTGCGATCATCAGGACACAAAGCCATAGAGGAGATTTGGCATCAGCGGTTAGGGCATCCGTTACAAGGGATTTTAAATCACTCAATCCGAGCAGCCGTTCTTGATAAAAACAGTCTACTTTTACCTGACGGCACGGAGATGAAGCCGCAGTCTCGTCCGATGGTTTGCACCACGTGTCCGGTCGCCAATCTTACCCACGATCCGTTTCCGATTCATTTTCCTGGCTCCACACGTTATAAACTGATGCAGAAATTCTACAGCGATATTCTGAACTTACATGAAGCAGGACCTAAAGATGAGCAGTATGTTATTACCTTCATCGAAGCATCTACTCGCTACGTTTGGACAGCAAACCTTCCTGCTCGTTATCTCGCTCATTCCGTCTTTGTCGCATGGCTCGCTGTAGCTGAACGAGGTTCTGGCGAGAAACTACAAGAATTCCAGAGTGATGGCGCAGGGGAATATACGAGCAATACCTTCACAGACTACCTCCAAACCCTCGGCATCAAACGGAAGCAGTCCCTGCCACATGCACACCAACAGATGGGGGTAGCAGAACGGATGAATAGGACTCTGCAAGAGAAGATGCGTGCTCTACTGACGCAGGCAGCTCGTCCTCCTCGTTTTTGGCCGTATGCGATGGACCACGCCGTGCAGTTACACAACCTGCTGTCTTCCACGTCACTGCCTGAATTTTCTTCTCCGCACCTGCAGTGGACACGAACAGTGGGAAGTACCAAACTTCTACGAGTTTTTGGGTGTGTTGTACAGTTTCGTCCTCCAACTGCAGCACTCGGCAAATTTTCAGAACGGGCAAAATGGGGGGTACACCTCGGCATCGAAAAACAGTATCACGCATGGAAGATTTTGGATCTTCGTTCAAACCAAATTGTCCCTTCACGTGATTGTCTCTTCTATGAAAGACTCACCTTGCCAGTTTTTCGTGCCCACCAGGCAGCAGCTGCCAACCCCGCCAGGCTGTTCGAAGGCTCGCGTGCATTTGCAACTGACGAAGCCGAAGCTGATGTACAGGACGAAGCAGTTTCCGAAGCCTCCGAAGCTGCCGCAACGGATATTCCCGAACCTGTCACATCGACTGGCATCCCTGAAGTTATTCCTCTTGCAGATGCTGACCTAGATGACGTTCGCGAAGTTCACCTCAGTTACGAACACGATCATCAACAGCAACCGATGCCTGTCGTCTCTGACGAAGCAGTTCGTGTTACACCTGACAAAATTGGGGGGGAAGAAGGAGCATAAGAAACTTTCCCAGGTGCAAACGAAGAACGTCCGCGTTTTACAGAAACCGGCTTACATATACTTGGATTCGCAGTCGCAGTACAGTACAACGACAGTAAGATACCTGAACCGAAAACCGTTCGACAAGCTCTTACGAGTCCTCACCTCGAAAAATGGCGCGAAGCCATGGACAGAGAACTAGCAGCTCTCAAGAATCGCGACACATGGGAGTTAATACCGACATCATAAGTAAAAGGGAGAAAGGTACTTACCGGAAAGTGGGTCTTCCGTGTCAAAACTAATGCAGATGGGTCGTTTGAGAAATTCATGGCGTGATGGGTCGTCCGCGGGTTCAAGCAGACCTACGGCATTGACTACGAGCTGACTTTTGCTCCCATCGGTCGACATACGAGCGTTCAAATTCTGCTCTATGTCGCCGCCTGCCGCAATCTACGACTTTAAACGCAATCTACGCAATCTACGCAATCGACGTGTCAAACGCTTTTCTCTACGCACCCGTCGACGCACTCATTCTGGTAGAGTACCCGCATTCGTATACCACTAACCCACCGAGCGTATGCCGTCTCAGAAAGTCGCTTTACGACATTAAACAGGCACCCCGGCTCTGGCAGCAGTATCTTCACTGACAGCTCATCACTGCTGGATTTCGACAACTGCCGCATGATCAGGGGATGTATCTTCTAACTGACCGCAACAACTATATTTTACTTGTCACCTACGTCGATGATATTCTTTACGTCAGTACTACTGACTCGCTCGCCGATACCTTTATACTGAAACTACAGAAAAATCTACACCTTACCGTCTCCGAAACTGTCTGACAGTTTCTCGGTCTAAACGTTACCTGCTCACCGACGTCTATTCACCTCACCGCTTCGAAGTACGTAGCCACACTCGCTGCCCGCTTCAACCTTACTCCTACTGCAGTCTCTACACCGTACCGCTCACTACCAACAGATCACAAACTGAATACTGCACCGTTGAGTCCGACCGGTTTACAGGTTTATCAACAGCAGTTAGGCTGTTTACTCTTCACCGCTGTTACTTGCCGTCCAGATCTAGCCTACACTGCTAGTCAACTCGCTCAGTTCTTACGCCGTCCTGAAGAGGAGCATCAACTCGATCTTCTCCGCGTGCTTCAGTACTTTATATCGACACCTGACGTCGGTTTAGTCTACAATGTCATCGGTTGTAAAACACTATACCTACATGGTTTCGTCGACGCCGATCACGCTGCTGACTCTACTAATCGACGGTCGCGTACTGGATTTATCTACCGCCTTGAACCTATCGGGCCTATTTCTTGGAATTCGACGAAGCAGGAACTGATTGCTCTCTCCTCTGCTGAGTGTTGTGGTATAATTCATATTTCGCATTTTTGTAAGTCGTTTATCGATAGATAGTGTTGAATCCGACTGTAGAAGATAAGTCCGTAGGATGACGTCAGCAAATATCGCTCGTCATAGGACAGTCGTTTCAGTCACGCAAACAGTCACATCTCTTCGTTATCATCTAGGGCGCATAGCGCGATAGTGACGAACATGTACATTAGCGAATAGGTACTTTCCTAGAGCTATAAATCCTTTTGTCTTTTTATTATTAACCTTGAGATTTCACCTTTGAGAACTTGAGACTTGACTTCCACAAAACTATATACTCAGGTTCGCTCTTACAAGACTTCCGTTGTCTTACTAGTCTACCATTCCAGTGAAGATCCTAGGCCAACACTTAAGGTTTTCCAAGTGTTTGAGTTTGCAGATTCTACACTTAGTCTCCGGCAACACCTGTCAAATCATTACACTTAACACCCCAGTATCACAAGTCAAAGCTGAAGTAAAAGCCAACCAACCAAGGCCAAGCAAAAGAGTCTTGCAAGCCCAACCAGCCACGCAACTCCAATCCACACACACCGAAACCACCCAACAGGTGACTGAGTGGCGGGGGTGACTGATAGGGACAAGGGTATCCCTGCAATAGCAGGAGAAGCTAGAAGTACCAAACCTTCAGCACCACTAGCTAGGAGAAGTTACGAGGGGTGTGGAAACAAGTTGGCTGCTTCACTGATAGTCATGCTCAAGTGGTGGCTGCCAGCAGCAGCAGCAGCAGCAGCGGCAGCACCGGCGGCAGCGGCGGCAGCAGCCAACCAACCACGTTCCAGGCTCCTGACCCAAGTCTTGCTAGTAGCTGGGAGGCGGCGGCTGCCATGCCCCAGCAGGGCGCGGCAGAAGCCCAGGAGAATACGGCGAAGGGACGGGGCCTGCACACAGGAGACGGAAAAACAAGGGGAGGGGAGGGGGGAAGGGGGAGGAGAAGGATGAGTTGTTTTGAGGCATCTCAGAAGCTAGGTGGCTGCCATGCAGCAGCAGGGTGCAGCAGAGAGGCAGGGCCTGCACAAGCAACCAGCCAGGGAAGAGAGTAAGCTGGTTTGGGAGCAGCAGTGACGGCTACCCAACTGGGCAGAAAAGGCAACAAACTTTGGTAGTAGGCTTGGCAAGGGCTCGGTGGGAAGGGAAGGGCGGCCCAGGGGGAAGAGGCTGGGAAAAGAAGGGCAGGAAGAGGTGGGGAGAGCAGACAGGGGCGTATGCTGCGCAAGGGTGGTTTGATGGATGGACAGACGTGGCTCGCAACACCAGCACCAATGCCAGCCGCAGCAGCTGCAGCACCAATGCTTCGTATCTAAGAAGCAGCAGCAGCAGCAGCAGCAGCGGCAGCAGCAGCAGCAGCAGTAGCAGGAGCATAAGTAGCAGCAGCAGCAGAGGCAGAAGCAGCAGCCGCACCGGGAAGAGCAGCGATTTTACCTCCAGCAGGGGCAGGAGCAGCAGCAGCGGGGATGGGTGCAGTCACCCAGTCCGGCATGCCTCCCCCCACCTCCAGTGCCGCAGCAATGGGATCATACGCACCATCACCCGCCGCTGCCCCTCCCGCTCCTCCCGAACCTCCTCCCGCACCTCCTCCCGAACCTCCTCCCCCCATGCCCGCAGCAGCTGCGAAGGGGTCGTAGGAGGAGGGGGGTGTAGAGGAGGCAGAGACGGGGGTGGATGAGGAAGGGAGCGCGGCAGACGGAGCAGCAACAGAGTAGGGATTGTAAGGGGAGGAGGGGATGGGAGGAGGAGCGGCAGAGCCTGCAGCACTAGCGGTGGCAGGAGGAGGCATTGGCGCAGGAGGCGATGGATTCACAGCAGAACCACCAGCAGCACCACCAGCACCAGCACCAGCACCCGCAGGGGCAGTGGACCCAGCCGCACCGGCAGCATAAGGGTCATACGGGGGGGGCTGGTAACCCATGTAACCAGGAGCTGAGGTGTAACCAGAGGGAGGTGGGTAGCTGGACGGTTGCGAGGGATAGGCCAGGCCAGCAGCAGCAGCAGGGGACGCAGGGGGAGCAGGAGAGCTGGAGCTGCCATCAGGGTAACCAGCGGGAGGGGCATACTGCGGCTGCGGGTTGTACGGCTGCTGCTGCTGCAGCAGAGGCGGAGGCGGCTGTTGCCCGTAAGGAGGCTGCTGCTGCTGCTGCTGCTGACCGTACGGCTGCGCATACTGCCCCGGCTGTCCCGGCTGCTGCTGCTGGGGAGGATACTGGCCGTAAGGGGGCGGCTGCCCATACATCTGGCTGTACCCCGCATACCCTTCTGGTGGAGGACCCGAGAACCCTCTCTGCTGGCTCAAATCACCACCACCTCCTCCTCCTGCTGCTGCTGCTCCTGCCTCCCGCCCGACATCCCCATCCCTCCGGTGCTCTCTCTCCCTGTCTCTCTCCCTGTCGTGGTCCCTGTCCCTACCCCTATCTCTATCTCTATCCCGGTCTCTGTCTCTGTCGTCACGCCTGTCTCGGTAATCCCGATCATCCCTCCTCTCCCTATCACGCCTATCCCTATCCCGATCCCTATCCCGATCCCTGTGCCTATCCCTGTCCCTATCCCTCTCCTTCTCCCTCTCCCTCTCCTTCTCCCTTTCCTTCTCCCTCTCCCTCTCCCTATCTCTGCTTCGGTCTTTCTCCCGCTCCTTCTGCCTCTCCTCCCTCTCCTTCTCCCTCTCCTTGCTCTCCTTACTCACAGCAGCAGCAGCCAGCCTTGCTTGGGCAGCCTTTGCTGCAGCAGCAGCCAGAGCAGCTGCAGTGGACGACTTACCACTCCCACCTCCCTTTCCCTCCCCTTCACCACTCTCCTTCCCCTCCTTTCCCTCCTCCATCACAACCCCATCAGATTTTTTCTGCCCGTCCTTCTGCCCGTCTTCCTGCCCGCCCTCTACTTTCTCGTCCTTACCTTCTTTCGCCACCTGAGACGCAAGGGCGGCAGACGGCACATACGTCCGAATCTTGCCCTCCATAGCAGCACCGCCAGAAGCAGCAGCAGCGCCATCCCCACCAGCAGCAGCAGCAGCGGCGGCAGCAGCAGCAGCAGCTTCTTTCTCCTTCTCCAGCTGCTTCTTTTTTGCTGCCTCCCTCTCTTTTTCCGCCTGAAATGCTGAGGCCGCCGCTGCTGCCACCGATTCAGCAAAAGACTTCTTCCTCTTCTCGCCCTGCTGCTCCTCCTTCCCCCCCTCCTTCTGCCCCTCCTTTCCCCCAGCCTCAGCGTTCACTTCGTTTTTTGGCTTAGTATCAGCAGACACATCACCACGGGCACCAGCAGAGCCACCAGCGGCAGCAGCAGCGTCACGTTTGGCAGCGGCGGTGGCAGCAGCAACAGCCATGGCAGCAGGCGCGCTGCCCGCCGCTTCGAGCTCTTCAGCCGTGCACTGCTTGTACTCGCCGGTTGTGGCGTCGTAGCGGAACCACTGGCGCGAGTCAGAGTGGTAGTAGAGGTCTGAAGACACACCGGGGGGAGCGGGGGGAGGGGCAAAGAGGGCAACTGGCTTAATGCCTCGAGCTCTTCAGCAGTGCACTGCTTGTACTCGCCCGTTGTGACGTCGTAGCGGAACCATTGGCGCGAGTCAGAGTGGTAGTTGAGGTCTGAGGACAACGGGTCACGGGGGGGAGGGGAGAGGGAGGCAAGGAGGAGAGAGGAACTAGTGCCTCCAGCTCCTCAGCACTGCAAGCTAGTGCTGATCTAGCAGCCCACACAGACGGTTCCTACGTACCTGAGGCACTGTCGTAGTAGAAGCTAGTGCTGCTGTCGTAGTAGAAGCTAGTGCTGCTGTCGTAGTAGAAGCTAGTGCTGCTGTCGTAGTAGCACCCAGTCGCCTTGTGCCACACAAACCTTGAGCGCACACAAACGGCTCAGCACACACCTGAGGCACTGTCGTAGTAGAAGCTGGTGCTGCTGTCGTAGTAGTACCCCGACGCCTCGTCCCACACGAAGCCACTCCCCGTCTGCGACTGCGCCTGCCCTCCCGCTGCCGCCTCGTCATACTCCTTGGGCATCCACCCCGACGCCTCCATCTGTATGGAGAAGGGGTGGGGGGCAGACGATGGGGCCGAGCAAGGGGAGCGTGGCATGATGGTGGCCAAGGGAACAAGGCCCTGCCGCCTCCTCATACTCCTGGGCATCCACCCTGACCCCTCCATCTGCGAAGAAACAGGCAGAGAAGGCGAGCAAAAAAGGGAAACAAGGGTTGACCTCGCTCGACACACACGAGTTGGAAGGTTGGGAAGTCAGCAGCAGCCTGCCACCTCGTCCTCCTCCTTGGGCGCCGTTTCTGAGTCGACTCAAAAGCCGACTCAAAAGCGGACTCAGAAGCAAAAGAGATGGAAAGTACGGAGAAGAGCAGCTGCCTGCCACCTCGTCGTGCTCCTTGGGCAGAGTCAGCAAGGGGCATGTTGGGCACGCCGTGGTTAAGGCTGCGAGCATTCGCCACCCTAGAACACACCTTAGCCACTGGACCAAGTCACACCTGAGGAGTCTATTTTTTAGGCGCCTAAAAAATAGACTCCTCACGCATGGTTGAGGCCTGCGAGCATGCGCCGCCCTAGAACACACCTTAACCACTAGACCAAGACACACCTGAGCCATGACGTCAGCATCCTCTGCGCCACCGCCAGCAGCAGCGGCGTAGGCAGCGTCTGCAAGGGGCGTGTTGGGCACGCTGTGGTCGAGACTGCAGGCATACGCCACCCTAGAACGCACCTGAGCCAACGAACTGGATCATACCTGAGCCATGACGTCAGCATCCTCAGCACCACCGCCAGCAGCAGTGGCGTAGGCAGCGGTGGCAGCGTCTGCAAGGGGCGTGTTGGGCACGCCGTGGTTGAGGCTGCGCGCATAAGCCACCCGCATGACAGGGCCGCCCTTGAAGAGACGCTTGTTGTGGCACGTGACCATGGCGCGCGTGGCTTGGTCGACCTGGGATACCGCAGAGAGGAAAATCGGAGGAGAGGAGGAGAAAGGGGCGCAAGGAAGGAAAACGAGAGGGAAAGCGAGGGATGGGACGAAAGGCAAGGGGGTGGGGGGGGGGAGCGTTGGAGGGAGGGAGAGAAAGGGCTCAACGAATGGCACAAAGGCATGCTGAGCATGTACTGGTGAGGAAACATCACACCAAAGCATGGAGGTCAGGCGAGGCTTCTAAGGCGTTTCAAAAGGCACCTCACACAAAGCATTAGGGCAGAGAGGTGAAGGTGCGGAACGCACCACACGACTTGCCAGTGATAGGAGGGAGAGGGAGGAGGGAGAGGGAGGAGGGAAAGCAGAGAGGAAGGAGAGCGGTGAGGGAAGACCCACGACGCAGCAGAGCCACTCACAGAAGAGAAGGTGACGAAGGCGAATCCACGCGACTTGAGCGTGGTCTTGTCGCGAACCATGCGCACGTCCTGGCGCACAGGGGGGGGGGGGGGAGACGGGGGATGGAAGGGGGAAGGGAAAGGGGGAGGGAAGCGGGGAGGGAAGCAGGGGAGAGAAGGGGGGTGAGAGAAGGGGGGGAGGGAAGGGTGGAGGGAAGGGGGGAGGGAAGGGGGGGAAGGGAGGGAGGGAGGGAGACAAAGGAGCGGATGGGATAAGGGATAACACGCGATGAGACACGATAGACAAGACGATGGTTTGCGAATGGATCAAGTGAGGGAAGGCAGGGCCGGCTAAGTGGACGGCAGCAAGTCACGCCGCTCATACCGCTCCTGCATTGTAGGCCCCTCTTGAGTCGACTCAAAGCCCCCTCAATACTGAGTACTAGTGCATCCGCTGCTGAGTACATGCAGTCTGCAGCCACCACTTACAATCACTAGAGCCAGCCACATACAGTAACGGAGCCATGCTGCAAAAACTCCTGCCTCAGGCTCTCTTTGTGCTCGCTGTCGTCCAGCACCGATTGCACACCCACACCCACACCCGCACCCGCTCCCGCTCCCGCTCCCGCTCCCGCTCCCTCTCCCCCACCCGCACCCGCTCCTGTAACCCGCACCCGCACCCGCTCCCGCTCCCGCACCCGCACCCGCTCCCGCACCCGCACCCGCTACCCCACCCGCTCCTGTAACCCACACCCACATCCGCACTCACACCCACACCTCCACCCACACCCGCACCAGCAACAGCACCCGCACCCGCACCCATACGCATACCCGCAGGGGCAGCATATATGCAGAGTAGTTTCACTGAACCAACCTTCAACACAGTGCCACCACTTACAGTCACGGAGCCATGCTGCGAGAACTCCTGCCTCAGGCTCTCCTCATGCACGCTGTCGTCCAGCCCTCTCACTATAAGCACGTTCGACGCATCTGGCCCCCCCGCAGCAGCAGCAAAAGGCGCTCCCCTTCCGCCTCTCTCGTAGCCTCCGCGCCCCCCTCTCTCGAATCCTCCTGCCTCGCCCCTGTCTGCTACAGTCACCGGATTGGCCGGCCTGCGCGTGACACACTGTGGCACATAAGGGAAGAACAGGCAGGGCTCGGAACGAGACAGATTGAGTGAAAACGATAGCAAACGGCGCTCCTCTTGTGTTAGTAATTTCGTTACGAGTCGACTCCAAACAACAGCAAACGGCGCTCCCCTTCCCCCTCTCTCGCATCCTCCTTGCCCCTCGCTCTCAAGGGGCTTGCCGGAATTGTTAAGGGCTCGACAAGTCACCACCCTTAAAGCCAAGACCAGGCATGAGATTCTCGGCCAAAAACAGCCCACCGTAAAGCATTTCGGAACGGCGGGCGAAATCATAGACACCGCAGGACGGGCACACCCAGTACAGGGGCTTGCTGTATGTGCTAGACACCCACCAGGCAACAGGGTTGAATGAACCCAAAGGCAACAACCCACCTTGAAGCACTCGGAGCGGCGGGCGAAGTTATTGACACCGCAGGACGGGCACACCCAGTCCAGGGGCTTGCCAGAACTGCTGTCTGCAAGCGGCCCTCCCCCGTCCTCGCCCCCTTGCAGCGGCTTGCTGTGGATGGGGACAGAAGAAAACGGCGCACGCAAGAAGCGGCCAAGAGGGAGAGGACAAGGGCAGGCGGAGGGAGAGAGGGAGGAAGGGAGGGAGGGACGGAGGGAGGGAGGGAGGGAGGGAGAGGAAGAAGGGAGGGAGGGAGGGAGGGAGGGAGAGGAAGAAGGGAGGGAAGGGAGGACGGGCGTGGGGGAAGAGGACCAGTCGGAGAGGAAAGAGAGGGACGCAGGCCAGCAGAGAAGGCAACAAGAAGAAAGGAAAGTGGAGAGATGCAGGGGGGGGGGAAGGGGGGAGGGGAAGGGGAAGAGCGGAAAAGGTGGAATAATGAGTGAGACAAGTGTGCATGGGAGTGAAAATCAAGTATTGAGAGAAGAGTAGCAGACGAGTGGCAGCAATTTCTGGGACGAGCGATATGTGAGCCAATCTGGGAGGGCAATGTGCAGATGAATGGGGGAGGGAGTTAACGGAAGGGTGTTTGCTCAGCAGCTGATTGAAGCTGCGTCTCCTGCCTCCCTCGCACACCAAGTGTCTCGAGGCCCCTCCACAGGTCTCCCAAGCCTCCCGCACAGGTACTCCTCAAACCTTAGGCAGAAATTTAGGGACACCGGATCTCCACACCGGATTTCAGGCCTCTTCCCTCTTCGCCCTCCCGTTCCCCCGACGTCCGAGGCACGGTCTTGGGCCGCCGCAGGACTAAAAGAACAGCTGTGTGAAAGCATCTATCAGCAGCAATCATCTGCAGTACAGAGCAATTAAACGGTCCACTTCGCTCACAACCCAGACCGTCATAGTGCGGTGCGGTTAACAAGTGCCCTTTAATCTCCACCTGTAGTGGAACAACAGCAAGCGGTCATCCATCTTTAGCTCCTTCGCCCTCCCACCCTCCACCAGCGCCTTTGCCGCATCCTGGGAAGAGGAGGAGGGTAGGGGACGAGGGAGCAGGGGGAGGGGAAGCGGAGGGGAGGGGGGGCGGGGAAGGCAGGGGAAAAAAAGGGAAGGATGAGAAAGGAGGAAAGGGGAGGACGAGGGCGGGGAGAGGAGGCGGAGGCTCGATTGGTGGGATGGGGGACGCACAGGAAAGGAAGGGGCAGAGAGTGGAGGAGGAAGGGGGCGGGGGCGACGGCAGGGAGAGAAGGAGCGGTGTCAGGGGGGCATGGGATAACAGGGACGGAAGGACAGCGTGAGAGAGAGAAGAACTGAGACGAGGGAAGCAGGAGCCCGTCGGAGCCAAAAAATCCAGGGTTTGAGGCGCCTCAAAGCACGAGTACGGAGTCTTAGCCTGCAGCCTGCAGAGACAATACAAAAAGAGCTTCATGACAGACCGGCTCCCGAGCTTAGTTTGCTTAAAAGCTAGGGGAGAGGGACAGGGGAGGGGAATGTGCATGCGTGCACAAAGGGAGGGACCACGGGTGCCACCAAGGGTGTGCACAAAACAAGGGAAGAGGTAAGAAAAGGTTGTCAAGCGCCTTCGCCGCCAATCTCTAGCAAAACGAAGTTCTTCCAATCAGGAGACAACCGAGAAACACGTCTTGGACGCATCGCCTGAGAGCCAAGCGACCTTAGCAAAAGACGCGAGCAAGAGACGCGAGCAAGAGACCCGGCCAAAAGGCGGCAGCAAGAGACGGCAGCAAGAGACGGCAGCAAGAGACGGCAGCAGGAGACGGCAGCACGAGACGGCTGCAAGGACCCCCCCTTGACGCACCACCGTCTCAAGGTCGACAAAGCAGAAGCCCTTGTTGAACCCCGTGGCCCGCTCCTTGATGAGGCGCACCTCCTTCAACGGCCCCCACTCGCCCTGCCAACATACCAAACACAGGGAAGGGTAAGGGGGGGAGAAGAGGAGAAGCGGAGAAGAAAATGAACTGACACGACTTGAGAAACAGACGCCCTTGTTGACCCCCGTGGCCCGCTCCTTGATCAGACGGACTTCCTTCGACGGGCCGCACTCGCCCTTTCGACTCGGCTCAGAAAGAAGCAGAGCAGAATGCGCATACAATACACCGCAACAGATCTTACCAGCAGCGCAAAGATATCCGCTTCAACAGCCCACGGCGCGATGCCCCGAATCAGCACGGTACTGGTGGGCTGCTCCGGACTGACCTCCCTCCCGCGCCCGCGCCACCCGCCAAACCTCCCCCGCCCATACGGCGACCGCGATCGCGACCGCGAACCCCCACGTCTGCGTCGCACAGGCGACCGCGACCACGACCGCGACCGTCGTCTGCGACCCCTGGGCGACGGGCTCCTGCTTCGCATGGGCACGTCGCGATCGCGCATCCAGGAACGTGTGGGCGACGCGGACCCGGGCTTCTTGTCCCCCGCGGGGGGGGATTTCGATCGGCGGCGGCGGGGGGGGGAGCGGGAGAGCGACCTGCCGCGACCGCGGCGGAAGTAGGGGGAGCGGGAGCGGGAGCGGGACCTCCGCCGCTTCTCCCCCGCGCGATCATCCGCCTTCTTGTCTTTCTCCCCGTCAGCAGGCAACCCTTCCGCCCTCGCCGCTTCCGCCTGTTTCGCCGCCGCCATAGCCAGCGCCATGGCAAGCCCAGGGTTCACCGCTCCCAGCCGCGCGCTGTTAGCCGCTGCGGCCAGTAACGCGGCTTTCGTGACAGCGGCGGAGGCCGCGTTCGACCCGCCGACTGCGGCCACCTGCGCCGCGAGAAGCGGGTTACTCGCCAGCAGCGGGTTCTTCGCAGCGGCGGCGGCCGCCGCAATCGCCGCCGCGGCGGAACTCGTACCGCCGGGTCCCGTCGAGCCGGTAATCGCGGCGGAAACCGCGGCCGCGCGCTGCTGCGCCGCCGCCAGCTGCGGGTTCGTCGCTGCGAGAAGCGCAGACACGGCGGACCTAGCCGCGAGGATCTGAGTCATCGCAGAAGCGGGAGCGCCAGTCTTAGCGTCCGCACCGGCCGCTTTCCCCATCACCATTTCGACCTTGAGCTTCGACTTGGATCCCCCGCGAGGAGACTCGTCTTCGTAGATGGAGCTGGGGGGAGGCTTCAGCGGATCGCTGTAGAGACTCTGCGGCGGCGGGTAACGGTTCAGCGAAGGCTTTGACGAAGATTCGCGATGGTCGCGATCACGGTCGCGATCCCGATCCCGATCGCGGTCGCGGTCGCGGTCGCGAGAGCGGTCGTCCTTGTCACGAGATCTATCCTCCTCTGGCTGCTGCTGCTGCTGCCGCTGCTTCCACGGCGCCGCCGCGGACGGATCGGATCGGCCCTCAGGCGGCCGCATGCCACCTGGCATCTGCTGAGCTGGCGGATACTGCCCCTGAGCTGGCGGCGGTCCCTGCGCCTGCCACGGCGGAGGTGCGTAGCCGGCCGGCGGCTGCTGCGGCGGCAGATGCGGCGGCGGCTGCTGATGCTGCTGCGGCGGGGGGTACGCGGGAGGCGGCCCGCCATATGCAGGCGGATGCGGGCTGTAACTCTGCTGCTGCTGGGGAGGAGGCGCGGCGCCGTACGGGGGAGGGGCGCCCCCCCCATAAGACTGATACTGCGGCGGCGGCGCGTTATAAGGCTGAGACGGCGGCTCGTTATAAGACGGCGGCGGAGGGCCTCCGCCGTACGAGGGAGGTGGACCCTGGGTGTAAGCGCGGGGAGGCTCGTTATACGGCGGGATCTGAGGCGGATTGTACGGGGGATACGAGGGTTGCTGCTGAAACTGCTGCTGCTGCTGTGGTGGCGGCTGCTGCTGCTGATGCTGTTGCTGCTGCTGCTGCTGCTGAGGAGGTAGAAAGTGCTGCGAAGGCGGCGGCTGGTTAAATCGCTGGTCCATGGGTGGTACGTTCGACGCCTGAAATGGGCGAAACGGAGAAACACGGCCAGGCATTTCAAAAAGTGAAGTAATCCGAGAATTTACTACAAGGATTGAACAGACGTAGGACTTACTCTAAAAGAATAAATGTAATGGCGGAGGTGAAACAGAATGAATTTACGGACGGCGTGTAGGATATATAGCACTGAACATAAAGGAGGACATGTCTTAAAACTTCCAACACGAAAGAGATGCGGGTAAGCGCGAGAAAAAACCGGAAGGCTGTCTAATCTGAAAATCGAAAAAAACAAAAAACAAAAAAAAAACAAAAAAGCTGACGATCATACACGGCGTAGAAGCGAAGCACGACGGATCAATCTGAAGATCCTTAGTCAACGCAAAAAAGAAACGATGAAAAAAACGGATTGAGCATACGACGGCTGGCCAAATCGTACATTAGGATCCCAACCCGCCGGGCCCGGCGGATATCCACGCCGATCCATGGCGAACAGACCCAAGTCACAGCAGGATTCGGAAGTACGATGTGCGTTGTCCTCAAGCCTGAGTTTCCCTGACGAAACTAGCCGAAAACTAGGGTTTCAAATGCTCCATCTGCTTCACATTCTCCAGCAGATGGAGAGAACGGGGAAGGCGAAGAATTTGAGGGACCGAAGGGATGGATGGGGACGATGCGGCCGAAAGATGGATTGCTTCACGAAACCGTCGCTTCTTGATTCGCGAAAACTTCGACTGAGGATTCACGAATCCTGTCATGGGATGAACCAAGTCGTGGTCTATACCTCATTATTAGAAATTGCTCGGCTGACTTGCTTTCCGTAAAACTGAAACACGTCAATTCCGTTTATGCATTCATATTAAATTTACTTGTTGGCCCAATAGGTAGGCATGCTTATGAAAAATCCTGCAGTAGAGTTGGAAATGATGAAGTTTAGATTAAAGCATTTCAGGAGTATAGATAGATTAAGATAACATCGAGGACAAGCCGAATCAACTGTGCTACACTACTCATCGTTAGATGAGAGTCAGGCTGACACTTCAGCTGAAGTGAATTCACATGAGACTTCAACTGAACAGTAACAACTCATGTAGAATAACGAGGTGCACAGCGCTCGGTACTAAAAAAGCTACATCACTATCTATATACTCGTGTAATGCCTTTTGTTTTAAACAATCACTTGTCCTCACACACCAGTACAAGGATCGACTAAGATTTCATTTGTGCTACATCAAGCACTCTGCCGGATACAGGGCCTTAGATAGGATTTTAGGCATCCTGACCAATCAGGGTGGCCCCCCAAGAAAACGTGTTGCAGTCAGGGTTGGTCGCATATGTTCATACTGATTCCCCAGGGTGGTTCCCCAGTTCTATACTGTGGCCTCAGGGTAATTTATGAAACGCTGGAAATCTTGAAAGTCACTTTAAACAGCAGCAGTACACTAACAGGGAGTCCGTGCTTCACATGTTGCGCTGGGTTGAGGACATTCAGCCGCGAGTGGCTGAGTTTGCGTCAACTGCAACGCACGGGACAAATCTGACCTGGAATTTTCTTAAGCTGACTATCAAAGGCCTGTGGCCCACGAAAAGAAACGGTGAGTTGCGTAAGGTTGGATGTTGAATAAGGGTGTGTTTCTGGCTGCTAGTCGATGTTCTAGTCTAGTCAAGTGGGCAAGTTTGCGGTTGAGAACTTTGCGCGCTTGAATAGAGTGCGCCCCATTTGACTAAAATCTTGACCCTGAGGCGAGAAACGCGCCCTCACGTGACGGGATTTTGATTCGACGTCACCTGGGCATCAAGAATTCGATGAGGAATTAGCCAGAATTCTAGGTTGCGTAGGGGCTGCAGAGGAGTGTCTCCAGCAGCGAGGAGGGGAAGATTCTCTCTAGCATTGAGGACTTAGCCAAAATTTCATATTTGCAGGGGGGGTTCTGGAGGATTGTATCTAGCATTCAGGACTTAGCCGATTTTTCGGAGTAGCGGGGGGTTTCGGAGGGTTGTCGCTTGCATTGAGGGCTTAGCCGAAATGTATTTGGGCAAAAAAAACAAGGGTTACCCAAGTGGCGCACGTGTATGTGCAAGATTTGAGAAATCAGGGTTCTGCCTGAAGGCATACTGACGGCTCAGGGCTGGTACACTAACATTTTACTGAATCCTCAGGGTTGCACTATGATTCAAAACTGAATTCACAGGGTGAAAAATTGTCTCAAACGGATTTTTCAGGATTGGCACCTAAGTGGCATCCTGAAAATCAGGGATTCAGGATAAAACATCCTGAAATCTGAGGCCCTGGCCGGATATCCTTGGGCTTCACTCACGCCAATATGATATGGGAGCTAGTCGGAGACTAGGTGCCTGTTACAAACTTCATTGTTTAGTTTGTAATGCTACTATGATCAAACACTTGCTATGAAATTCTCTAAATATCACAAGACATGGCACTACCTTAGCATGTGGGGTCATCCATTGGATCCCTAGGCATCGAACCATCTACACCTCCAGTATCTGAGCTACAGACTGAGGCAGCCGTGACTGAAGACACAAAATTAGGGGCACCAACGAATCAGGTGGTTCTCCCATCGGGCTTCGACCTAAATGCTATAGAGAAGTTCTTCTCCTTCATATCGCACTTTGAACAGCAACCTTCGGCACCTGTTCAATCAATCAACAATGATGTTAACAACGGTTGAGGCCCATGAGTCTTGAAAAATCATCATTTGCATTAGGCAATCAGCAGCCTATTCAATACCCACCTTATCACTCGTCGTCAGGATCCTTCGGTTTCCTGCCAACTCGATAACCTGCAACTACATCGGCAATAGACAACAATCCGAGTGAGATTCTGTAGCTGCAAGCTTAGTTCGCAAATATCTAGAAGCTTCATACATCATTCCCATTCAACGGCCACGACTTTTGTACCTAGCGCTTCGAGTTCGAGCTCATGGTGGAAGGCGCGCATGTCTTGTCATTCTTTACGAGCACCTGCACGTATAAAAAAAAATGTAACTCGAAGAGAGGAGCAATACACATACAGTATCTGTCACTGAACACCATCATTATCTGCAACTTGTCACCAACCAAGCAACGGAGCATCATGACGTACAGGGGTTTTGACAACATAAAGAGTATGTACCAGGCGTTGGACAGCATAAAATAGAGACAACTTATGGTCCAGTTAATACCGATTCAAATGCAGCTGGAGAAACGACAATAGCCTACATAAACAGATGCTGAGTACTACGAGATCGACTCATGCGAAGCGGAGGCAGTTTGTCTGAAGAAGCCACTTGTCCTGGCTGGTCTCGGTCCCTAGTGGTGCACAAAGCGCTCGCTTCTTCGAGCTCATGGGAAGGTCTTGGATGCATCTCTGCGCCGAACTACACGCCGAACAGTAGGACATGGACATGTTTTAAGAAAGAAATGCAAAGAAGACAAGTCAGCAAATCACATTCCACACCCTCGAACGACCTCAAGGGCAATGCTATAAACGTGTCGTACCTCCTTACTGTCACATCTGTTGCACCTATGGACACTCTCGAATAAAGCTTCCAAGGCAGCAACAGCAGCAGATGCCTCGACCACTTCGTCCGTCCAGCACTCAAGTCGCATCGACCCAGCAGCATCCAGCTGCGCCCTCATCACAACCTGCACATGGCACTCAAAATATCGCCATTTGCATGGCACACATAAACCCCTGCTTAACAGAATCCCTCTCACGTACGATCTTGACGAGGTCCCGCTGGCACAAAACCAATATCGCCTTCAACCCAATCCCACGTTTGCCAAAATACAGTAGCTTGTGAGGAACCATCAGTGCGTGATACTTACAGTAGTTCCTATACAATTACTATGGCCAGCACATGTGCTCCTCTGCACTCTTTGTCCCGTGCAAACGCAGCCTGAGATTCGAAGTTGTGATCACTGTCGCAACAACCAGAATCTGCACACTGTAAGACAAGGCATGGTTCAATTACAACATCTAGAATGAATGTGGTGCTGCAGATGTCTCGCGTACTGGTTGTCGACGACCTCTGTGATAGCCTCATGAGCGTTAGCCAGTTGCTAGAGAAGGACATTCCACTAGAATGCGACAGCAATGAGAGGGAGCTCAAGTTATACCATGGAAAATAGGGGATATATATTGGCAAGGCGACACTGGAATCCAAAGTTTTCGTTCTCGGCGTCATACATGATCAAGGAATTGCCGATAGCGAAGTTATCGTATCATTTACAACTTGGACACACCATCCCAATCTTGAGCGAGACTTCAGTCCTGAAGGCTTCTGGTACTCCCATCCGAATCCCTTGGGTAGAAAGCACAGGGGCGTTAGCAGACATGTGGGAAGCAGAAGCACCACCCACAGAAGAACAACACGTAGTTCCCGAACCACAGGCTGGTCCCTTAACTTCTCTAGCTCCTTCCCCAGTTGAGGAGCTGCCACCAACAGAAGCAGAGCAGCTGATACTGACAAATCGTGCTGTCCATAGGAGCGCCGCGACCTTGCCTGTCATTTATGCCAACTTTGACCTACTGTATACCGGCGCTCTGCATGACGCAAGGCAAGCAAAGATACGTGGCATCAGCATCTCGAACATCCAGGAAACACAACACTGTTCAACGCCATTTGAGTAGGTGTTCTCGACACAGTCCCTTGCTCCTACTTGATGCACAAGTTATTCGAAAGCCGACAGGCACATCTTTCATCTGTCTCGAAGTCGACTTACCACATCACCTGTTTCCGTCGCATCACCATCCCAACGCACCAGCCTACGCTCCGCTTAAGAAGGTGTACAGCGATATTCTGTACATACCTCGCGACGAAGGTTGCACGGACTTTAACTACGTCATCACCTTCATCGACACCTCGACACGCTACGTCTGGCATCTCAACCTGCCATCCTACTATCTTGCATACGCAACATTCATCGCCTGGCACGCTCTGGCGGAATGCAAAGCAGACGTGAAGTTGAAAAGCTTCCAGTCTGGCGGGGCTCTGAAATATTAGTGACAACGCTTCAAGGGTTTCTTGACGGAACACGACATCAAGAGACTCATCTCTCTTCCCTACGCACATCAACAGTAGGGGGTAACATAAAGGATGAGCATGACATTGCAGAACACCATGTGTAAGCTATTGCGTGGCATGCGCCTGCCCAGCTCCGTTGATGTGACCAGATGCGAAGGGCCATGCTGTGCTGCTACATAACTTGTTGTGGACAGGGAAGCTGGGCAACATTCGAATTCCGTGAGTGCTTGGTTGCATGGTATAGGACGGCCCGCACAATGCAAGAGCTGGAAAATTTTTGCAGCAGGCACAGTGGGGGATACACCCCAGCATTGAGGAAATATATCATGCATGGAAGATTTTCGACATCAACGACAAAGAAACAGTGGCAGCTCATGACGTGATCTTCTATGAACGGCTCACTATGCAATATTGCCTAGACAACATTGTAGTAACCGAAGACCCTACTAGTGGCTTCAACGACGAACACACATTCACATCGTCAGCAGAGGAAGCAGTTTGGGACGAGTAGAACGTTCTAAGAGCTTCCGAAGCAACCAGACTTCTCCCCTACTGCTCCGTCCCTATCCAGAAGGACGATGAAGTCCG